TGAATTAATTTTTGGATGCTAAAATAACGAATAAAGTAATAGCTGAAAAAATGTTGGATAAATTTAAGTGAAATTAAATGTAGACAAAAAAATATTAGGAAATAATCAAATATTCATTTGTGATATTATATAAAAATTCGAACAATAATATCTTCTGCTGCATTTTTTATTTTTTATTTATTTTTTTTTTCTTTGAAAATATAAAAAATTATTTTGTGGAAAATAATTTTAGATAAAATGGAATTAAGTTATAAGTAAATTAAAGTAATAGTAATATTATGAGAAAAGAGAATACTATAGATATTTCCAAAAAAGCAAATTTGTTTATTAATTTGAAAATTTTGAAAAGTTATGCATTAAAAATTTTGCTAATATTTTTTTAAATATTTAATTTTGAACAGGAAAATATATTTTCTCTTCAACGATTTCTGAGAGACTTTTGAACTTTTCTCTTTTTCTTTTTCTTTTTTTTGTAAAAAATAAGTCATTTTTTGTTTTTAGTTATAAATTTAATTTTAACCTAAAATTTTATGCAACTTAATCGTTTTTTTTTTCCCTTTTGTTTTTTTTTTTCGTTAGCCTATTTGACATTATTAATTTTGGAATAACATTGTTAAAATTTTGAACAAATAAAAAATTGTAATAAAATATTACTTTGTTAAAAATATTTTTAACAGTGTACTTAAATTAACTTGTCATATGATTAAATCTGATTATAGCTTTATAATTTAATTACTGTGATATTAGTGTGTTATAATATTTAGTCAAATGAATTATAATAATATGAAATTAATAATAGAAATTATGAAAGAAAAATTTATTCGAATATTAAATCAAAAACAAAAGGGAGAGAGAAGGAGAAAAAAACAATTTTTTTTAAAGTTTGCTGATTGGAAAATTGTTAATAAATGAATATTACAGTGAAAAAAAAAAAAAAAAAAAAAAAAAAGGAATACAATTGATAGAAGTACATTGTGAGTAATTTTAGGAAGTAAATAAAAGAATTGAAAAATGTAAGTAATCTTGAAACATTTAATATTAAGCAGATTCGATGTACTTCTTAATAAAAGAATGAGAGCGAGAGAGAGGGAGAGGGAGAGAGAGAGAAAGAAAAAAAGAAAGAATCAAATTACAGGTTAGCATGAAAGAAATGAATTTTTGTTTTCTTTTTTAGTCTTTTTTTAGTTTTTTTTTAGTTTTTTTTTTTATAAAATGAAAACCATATGAAATTGAATATTAGAATGGAATAGAAAGAAAGAAAGAAAGAGAGAGAGAAAGAAAGAAAGATGAGATGTGATGTTATCTTTTTATCATTTCATTTTTAATGTCAATTATGCAAGCACATTGATTGTGACTGAGTGTTCTTGATGAGAGTATTATTTGCGCTATTATAATAAAGTACACGAGAGAGAGAGAGAGGGGAAGAGAGGGAGAGAGAGAGAGGGAGAGAAAGAAAAGCAATTTAAAATTGAAATAAAAATTTCAATGTTTGAAAGATAGAGAGGAAAAGAGAGTAAAGCTTTAGCTTTAAGCTCTAAAACTATTTATCTATCTATTTATCATAAAATAGAGTTAGTTAGCTAAGCTGAACAAAATGATACTAGAAGTAGACTTAGGTAAAAAGTTATGTTTACAAATTTATCAAAATTTTTTTTTCAATTTAAAAAATTTATATCAAACACATATATATCGTTGCATTTCATCCTAATTTCTTCTATATGGAAAAAAAAAATTATTTGCCTTTTATTTTTTTTCTCAAAGCAAAATGAAAAGTTAATTTGAAATTATTTAGTGCTAAAATGAAAAAAACAAAAAAAAGATTTATGATTGTAAAATATGTTTGTTAGATTGTTTTTTCATGTTGAAGAAGCATAAATGAGAAAAAGGTAGAATATGCTAATTTTATTTAAATCATATTCAATAACTTTCTCTCTCTCTCTTTCTCTCTCTCTCTCTCCCTCTTATTCACCCTTTCTCTTCCACCTCTTCTTTTTTATTATCTATCATTCCTTGAAAATTATTTTTGCAAAATTCAAATAAAAAAGAAAGGGAAGAAAAATGAAATGAGAAAATTGAAAAAGATAGTATTTTCTTTGCCAAAATATTATCTCATTTCAATTGTTTATTCATTTTTGATGAAATTGAATTTTTTTTTTTTTGCAATGTCTGTTGATTGAGAAAACAATGAAAATAAGCAATTTTGCAAAAAAAAAGAGAGAGAGAGAGAGAGAGGAAAAGATAAACAAAATTGAAATAATCGCTGTAAAAGGAAAGATAAAAAATTTTTTTTTTATTTATTCTTTTACTATTAGCAATTTTTCAACATTAAAAATTAAAATGGATTAAAACTATAGTTTATTTGTAAAAGTTTTTTTTTTTTTAAAAAAAAAAAAGAAAAATTCTGGAATATTGTAAACTTTGAAAAATTTCCATAAATTAAAATTAAAATATAACAAATATGCTAAAAAAGTGTTTTTTTAAAAATAATAATCACAAATTTAGTTGTATTTTATAATTTTCCACTAGCAGTAAAATTATTAAATAATTGCTTATAAAAAAAAAATAATAATAAAACAATTATTCTCTCTTTAACATTTTCAAATTTTATTATCATTTTCAAACAAAGAAAAGAATGATTTGACTAAGATAGATATTACAAAATCATTAATAATAAATGTAAAAAAAAAAGAAATTAAAAAAAATTCCTAAAAATTAAATTTGAATAAAATGAAATTTGATTAAGAATTAATTGTTTATCAGTTTTGAAATAAAAATGCAAAAAAAAAAAATTTAAGCAATTAAAATATTTTGAAAAAAAAAATATGCAAATAAATAGCATACATACATATATATTTTATATACAAAAACATTTTCTGAAGTTTTTTTTTGACAAAATAAAGATTTTGCACTTTTGCAAAATACCAATCAACAAAATCAGTAAGTATACAAACATTTTCTCTCTCTCTCCCTCTCTCTCTCTCTCTCTCTCTCTTGTACCTTTTTTTTAAAGTGATTATTTATGTTGAAATTACAAGTTATTAAAACAAGTCTTTTTGCTTTATATACCATTACGGTTTGCGTATTTCTTCAAAAAATTGACATAAGAATAAAAAGAAATATATTTTGTGAAAAAAGTTGAATGAACAAAATATTTCAAAATTTAAACATAGAATAATTCATTTAGTTTCTTTTTTTTTTCTTTCTAAAAAAAAAAAAATTTTCAAACAATAGAAAATCAAATATTTTAGTTAAAATGAATTGGAAAAGAAAGCAACGAAAAAAAAAAAAAAAGAAAAATTTTTTTTTCATTTCATCGATTGATGCCTGCTATTGCATTTATATATATATGTATGAAAGATTTTTTATAAAATTTTAAAATAAAATTTACACCTATGAAAAGTACATTTTATCTCAAAATAATTTAATTAAATGATTATTATGATTATTAATTCAAATATGATAATTAATGTTAACGAAGCAAGAAGTATATCGATAGATTTGAAAAAAAAAAAAAAAAGAAAAAAAATGATCAAAAATCATGAAAATGAAAAAAAGAGAGAATATATTTTAATAATACTACTTCTGTTTATTTATTTATTACAAAAGTACTTCTAATTCTTCGTTCAATATTCTTTTACATCATTTTTCTCTCTCTCTCTCTCTTTTTTTTTGCTATTTGCTTATATTTCACTTGAAATATTTTTAAATTGTTTAGTATTGAGATTAAAATATAAAATAATATGAGACAATCTGATAGAGTTTCATTTTTTTTTTTTTTAGAAAATTTCTAGATTGAAATAAAAGTGCAAAGATATTTTAAAACTTATGATTAGCTATAATCTTATGAGTAAAAAGAAGAAAAAAAAAAGCAATTTTAGAAATAATTCCATAGAAATAGGAATATCAATAAAAATTTTTTAACAATTTAAATTTAAAAGGAAAAATTAAATTTTAGTAGGAAAAAATTACTTTCAAGAATATTTCAATTGGTAATGAAACATGAATTTTCGAATCGATGATTAATTTTTCATATGAAATTTAAATTATGATTTGTTATAATTAATTAATTCTTCTCACTGCATTTCAATTCTCTTTTATGCTCATTTGAAGATAATATGTAAAGCATTAAAGATTTACTTTCTTTGAATTATTTCTAAAAAAGGTTACTTATTATTATTTTTTTTAGACTATTTATTTCTCAGTTAGTAGCTTTGTTATGAATTATTGATTTTTTTTTTAAATTTTAATCAAAATGAAATAGAATTTATTTTAATGTATGGTAAAAATTTATAAATTTTTTATTTTTAATTGTGTTTTAGTTTACAAATTTTATGATCGACAAGTACTTTTCATTCAAAAGTTGATGATATAATAAGTAATAGGTAATTATAATGTGATATTAATGAGTAAATATAATCTAATAATAAAGAAGTTAAAAAGTAAATATAAATGAATTGCAAAAGTTATTCATACCACAGCTATAAATGTTATAAATGCTAAGAATTATAAGTATAAACAATTTTTAGTTAAAATGAAATAATCAATTGTTTGCTAACCGTTATTGATCACAATTTAACAAATTCTTTGAGAAACAATTGCTAGCCAATAAAATGTAAATTCATAAATTATTGGCATAATAATGTAAATTTATAAATTACTCACATAATAGCATTGATTTGAAATGCTTTAGTTGAAATAAATCAATTTAACAATTTTTATTAATTAATTAAGCACTAAATTTGATGTCAATTTATTGAGTAGTCGAATTCAAGTTGAACTCAAAATTATATTACATTTTGTCGTTAAGCAATCAGTGAAAATTTCTTTTTTATATGTAAAAAGAAAAGTTTTTCTTTTTTTTTTTGATTTTTTCATTATTTTTTATCATTAATTAACAGTCAGATTTAAAAAAGTTTTGTTATATATAATTCTTTAACTTTTAACAGTTATATAGTAGTAATAAATGTTATTAATATTAATCAATATAAAATGAAAGTTAATTAAAATATAATTGTAAAAAAAAAAAAAAACGACAAACCATTAGCTAATTTGCTTGCTTTCATTAAAATGTCGAACATTTGCATATGATTGAATTTTAATTCATTGAACATAAAATAATTATAATCCATTTGATAGTACCGTACCTGAAGTGATGCTACTTGCAGGTAGCATTCACCATACGGTACATTACTGATTTTAGAACTACCGTATCGCTGTTCATGAAAAATATATGCAACTGTAAGCCAATTCATCCGATCAAAAATCATGCGAATTGCTTTAGTAAGTATTTTATATGGACTAATAATACGAGTTAACAATTTATATTCCTGTCTGTTATCCAAGTTGCTTGTTAGGCCAACTGTTGTAATTACCGGAATACCATTATTTGTAGCACTTTTCCAATACGGTGACATTCGGGCTACCGATTTTAAGGCATTAACAAAAACATATCCAATAATACAGTCTAGTTTAGCTGTCACCAATTGACTGATTGCAACATTAGGACCGTGTGCATCTGATAAGCGAGTGTCCTTGAAATGCAACCGTAAGGAACCTTTTGGTAGCAATTTGTTGTGGTATACTTTTTCCAGAGCTATGTCCACAACTGGTCGCACTAAATCCATCGTAATACCAAACGGATTCTTTGTAAGCTCACCACGTTTAATAGGAACCGGAAAAAGGATATGCATTGGATACTTTGATGAAATATCAGTAATTACATTCCGTTCTTGTTGAATTCTCTGAATGAAACGATGACTTTGAATGTGTCGTAAATGTCGTATGTTATGTTGAGATTTCAGGATTAAATTTTCTTGAACAGAATTTGAGTAAAATAAGAATTGAAAAAGAAATAAGTGAAATAGCATTGAAAATTCATTAATTACAAACATATTCGTTCCATTACAAAATCTTTAGTATTACAGTGACAAAGAATTTTAGTCATTTCAATATGATTAATGATTATTGCTAATTTCCTTTTCACTAATATTAGAACTCGAGTGCTGGTCACTATTGGTCACTAATATGTGAACTTCATGACTTTTGTATTGATTGACCTGTAACAGTAGAATTTCTAATTTTCTTGAACATTCATTTAGCATTGAAATAAATATTTGTATGAAAAAAAGAAATTAAAAGTGAAATATATTTAACTTTGCACTAGCAGTATTAATTGTGAAATAAAAAATTAAAAGAATGATAGGTATAAGAATGTTTCTTTAAATAAAAATTATTCTTTTCAATTAAGAAAACTTTAATTGAATAAAAAAAATGAAACAATCAATACTCTAATCTTTTTTACAAAGTTATTTTCATGATCATAAATATTACTGTTAAATTTGGGAAAGAACAATAAGGCTTAAATATCTTATAACTTGAAATTAATGAAAAACAAGACGACTTAATTAAGATGACAGAAAATGACTATTAGCATAATTGGATAATAGAATGAGTTTATAATTAAAATAGCTGTTTGTTGTACAATAATTACATCTTAATAAACTAATCATTTTTATGTCATTCATATACATCAGAGCTATGTGTTAGCAATTTAAATGTTAAATTTAAAAATGATAATAGTATTATACCAATTTCATTAAATTAATGAATTTTATATTAAAAATATTAAACATGTCAAAAACGAATTACACGAATAAATTTCATTGTAATCATCACAAGAATGAGAAATTTTAAAGAATCTGAGAGCTATTACTTTTTTTTTTTTTTTTTTTTTTTGTTTTTAAAAGTCTCACTTGAGAGAAATTTCAATTTGATCCACTTCCACTGAAATTTCGTTTCCTCCTGTGGTTTTCACTTCATCAGTAGATAATTTGCTGCAAATAAACAATTCAAAAGTAATTGGAATGCAAATTGTTTTTCTTCATTTCATTATATGTATCAAAAATATTTTAACATTTTAGAAGCATTTTTAAAATCAGTCTGCAAACAATTTCAATAAAACGAACAATTTTTTCTACCTTAAAATTTCCATCAAATATTTTTTTATTTCTCTTTTTTATTGATAATATAAAATAAACACTAAATGGCACTAATAGAAGTGATTATGAATGTTATTTATATCATTGAATGATATTACATACAGTAATTTAATATCATCGTAATAATTCTTCAGTGATGGCACCTCATACAGTAATTCAGTATTATCGTAGTTATTTTTCAGCGATGACATCTCTTGCAGTAACTTAGTATTATCGTAGTCATTTTCAGCGATGACATCTCATACAGTAATTCATATTATCATAATCATTTCTCAGTGATGATATTTTGTACAGTAATTCAGTATTATCGTAGTCATTTTTCAGTGATGATATTTTATACAGTAATTCATCATTATCGTAACCACTTTTTAATTTTTTTTTTAATGAATTGATTCTTTCTTTACAAAGCATCAGATTACAATGCAATCATTTTTTTACATAATCATTTCTCATTAAATCTTTTTCAATTTTGTTCAGATTATCTTTTAGACTTTTGCAGATAATTCTTGTGATCATTTCATTATATAAAAGCTTTTCGATATATAATGATTGGCATATAATCGATTTAAAAATTTTCCTTTACTTTTTCAAAATTTCACCATAAATTGCTTCTTTTTTTAAGTTAATCTTCATCTTCGATATTCTTTGGTCGCATCATTTCTTTCATCAAATCAAAATCAAATTTGAAATTATATATAGTAACATATATGTTAGTTTATCTCTTAACCATTTCATCTTTCAAATTTTTTATGCCAAAGTCAGAAGTGATTAGAAATGAAAATTTATTATAATTTGAAACAGTAGGGGAAATTTTTGTGGATTAGCTTAAATGATTGCCATAATCAATCATCCTTTTTCTCTCCAATATTTCCAGTTTTGACAAATTTGTTTCTTGGCTTTTTGCAAGCTAAAATATTGAAATTTCATTTTCTTTTAGCTAAAACGATCATTTCATTTTTATGATTCAGTTAAATTAAGAGTTCTGAAGAAGCTCTTAGTCACAAACTGAGACAAACCTAGCAATCTTTTCAGGATTCATCTCGGTGGCATCTGAAAGAGTACAACCAAAGCAGATCTATTGTATTCCGAAAAGTTATTTCCTCTTCAAATTTCAATATTTTTGTTAATAAATGTCTTTTTTTTCTCTAATGCAATATTTTGCAAATGTATTGTATTATCTATTCGTTCTACTTTTTTTTGGACTATTTTATAAATTTAAAAGCAATTAATGGATGTTATGTGTGCCATTTAAGCACATAATATTAAATTATCTTCAAAACAAATATTATACAGTTTATACTATATAATCCATTTATTTTTGAATTTTGTTAATTGTTATTAACATATAATTTCGTAAATTTTAGTTTCATTCAACCATAAATAATTGCTAAAGTATGTTTATACTTGAAAAATTTGCAGTAACAAATTGAATGACTTCTACTGTAACAAAATTAATCAATAAATGTAGGCTTAGAAGTACTTTCAAGAGATTTCAAGCGAATTAATTGCTTTCTTTTGAAAAAAAAAAAACTTTCTTTTGTTTAGATAGGCCAAGTAAGTAAGACAGAACTAGGACATTTTCAAAATATTATATTACAAATATACTAAAAGCTTAGCTTAATGCTTTGTCAATAAAGAATGAATAGTAATTTTTGCTTTTCTATTATTTTATATTTCTTTTTTTCTTTTTTGTGAACATTTTGCTAAACATTGATTCTTTCATTTTTATAAACTCTTATTAAGAGTTGAAAAGTGCTCAAATTTGTGTTACTAAAGTGTTCCAAACGTTTAAAAGTACATGGAAGACGTTTAATTTGGTTGAATCATTCAATAAAAGTATTTGAAATTCACTAAACCAAATTGAAGCTATAAAATAATCTTCAACAAAAAAAAAAAAAAAAAAACTTCAGATTTTAAAAAAAATTTCTACGAAAATTTTTTAATATTAAAAAAAAAATCCACTAAATGTTTCATTTGAAATTCAAAACGAAAATTTTCATCCAATTTAATTTTCAATTTCGTTTAACAACTATCAAGTTCCGTCTTTGCTTTAAAAACTACTGCTATTATATTTAAAAAACCCATCAAGTACTTGAAATTGTATGATAGAATGTTGAGCAATATTTATGTATCTAAAAAAAAATAAAAATTGAAGGGTACGATTTACAAGAATAAATAATACATGCTTCTTAAATATTTCTAGTTCGTTTTTTTTTTAAAAAAAAACAGAGCAAAAAAAAAAGTAGATTTTAAATATGCAGATTTTATATTTTTCAATTAGTTTTTGAAGTAAACAACTGAAAATTTCATCAACTTCTTATAGAAAAAAAATATTTTCATATGCATAATTTTATGCTTTATTATTTTTCAATTTAAAAGTTCATCATTTCTAACGAAAATTATATTTGAAAATGATTTGAAGAGGGACTGACTGATGCACGTTTTAATTTAAAGGCTATAAAATGAAATTTTTCATCAGTTTGGCACCCAATTTAAAATGAAATTAAATGTGGGGGCGAGATATGTTCAATGAAACCGGAGAATCTACTTATGTCAAATTGAATTTAATCGAAGCTACTTAAACTGAATTAGTTATATCGAATTTCCATCGATACTGAAATATTGAAAAAAAAAAAAAAAACAATTCAGAAAGTTGGCAAATGGTCATTATTGGCCTAATGAGTCGATTTAATTAAATTAAATTGATACTATCAAATGTGCTAGTGTCATACAAATTGATAGCCTTAAATGTGATATAAAATTTGAAACTGAAGGAAAGTTTGCGATTTCAATTACCAAACTGTTCAGTTCATTCAAAAAATGAGGAATCATGAATTTCTCATAATTTAACTTCTGTACTAATAATGTTATTATTATTATTATTATTACTATTACTTATGCAAAATCATTATTAATTATGATCTTGACACAGCAGCTGCTATCATCATTATCACTATCAATAATTTGTGATATAACATTCATGAAATTGATTGTTTAACTATAAAGTGGACAAATTAATTGAAAAGATAAACTATTATTTTAATAGATTTGAAGACTGAAGCAATAAGTATTATCACCATAAAGTGCTTATCATAAAATTAATTATCATAAAATGCTGCTCAATAATGAGTGTAAATTATTTTTGGAAAATATGCAAATGACATAACATAAAAATTGGAACTTATTGCCATCACTGCTACTAAATCAGCACTTTTATCATTCTAACAGTTGGATTGAAGTTGGATTGATTGAACAGTGTCAAATTCTTCTTAGAAATAAACGTTAAAAATTAAATCAACCAATTTTTATTGAATCAAAAAATAATAAAAAGTGCTCTAATACGATCTATGTTGGTTGATTTTAGGTTTTCAAATAGTACTTTTTAAAAGCTGTCGAAAATTCGCACTAGAAATTTGGTAAAAAGAATATTGTATTGTAAGATTTATTATGATAATATTGTAAATCGTTGCTTATTCTATCAAAATTAAATTTTCATTTTTGAATGTTTCTTTTTTTTTTTTTGTAAAGTATTATTAGCAACAAAAATTTATTTCGATTTTTTAATTGTATCAGATATAAGTGAAAAAAAAAAAAGGAAAAAATCCAGTGATGATCTATGATTAGTAAATCATAGAGCATTTCAACTGGCAATTATTACATAATCAAAGTTAGTAGTGCAAGCAAAATGTAATGTATCATTAAAATTTCAAGTAAATTGGCACTTTTAAGAATCATTAAAATGTGAAAGAGATTTACTTACAGTGATTAAATTTAATAGGTCTCACTTATTTTACTTTACTTGAACGTTTGTTTAGGAAAAAAAAATTGAGAATATTTATTATTTCTTTAAATTATATGCTTTAAACTTCAAGGGATATTTTTTTAAAAAAAAA